AAATTCACTATGAGCCAATATAAAAATATTCTAAATTCATAATCATATATATATATAATAATTATTGTTTTAGTGAACAAATATTTAAAGCAGTTGGTATTCCGATGGGAGCCAGTTTCTCCTCAAAGATGGCTAACTTATATCTGTACTTCTAATAAAATTTATTTTTGAAACAAGCAATAAATCCTAATTTATATAATTATACTTTTCGATATACTGACAACCTAATTTCTATCAGTAATGTAAACTTTTACACTACTCATATCTATCCAAAATAACTTGTAATAGAAAGAGGTAATAACAGCTGTAATAGTGCACATTACTTAGATTTCGATATTATTTTTGTAGAAGGGTCGCGGGTTCGAATTCCCATCACACCATACATTCTCGCCCTTTCATCCGTGGGGGCGTTATAATGTGACGGTCAATCCCACTATTCGTTGGTAAAAGAGTAGCTCAAGAGTTGGCGGTGATGACTAACTGCCTTCCCTTTAGTTTTACACTAAATTAGGGACGGCTAGCGCAGATAGCCCTCGTGTAGCTTTGTGCGAAATTTAAAACAAACAAACAAAACCATTTTAGTTTTAACATCCCTGATCTAGCTACCCAGAATACTGTAATCCCGTGTAACGATATACATGAAAGCGCTGCTACAAACAGGGTAACAATTTATTCAACTATAAGAACAGTTGAAATAAAATTTCGCATTTACCAAAAATACGATTAACAAACATGTGCCTAGCCAAGACTTGATACTTAATAAACAATAAAACACAAATATCAGTATTAATTATTACAAGTAATGGAATAAGAAAGAACAATAAACCTAGTTACAATAAAATACAACAGCACACCATTTCAAAATACCTTTCAATATTAACAACAATATCGAGTGACAAACAACGACAACTATATCGTTAATTACTCGTGATTCCGTTTATGAAGCTCAAGGCAGGGTATTTATTTATTGAGTAGGTCACGACCGTATTTCCTAGGCAAGGGTTTGTTTGTTTGTAGTTAAGCACAAAGCTGCACAATAGGCTATCAATGCTCTGGCCACCACGGGTATCCAAACCCAGTTTCTAGTGTTGTAAGTCCGCAGAAATACCGTTATGCCACTGGGGGCGCTATAGAAGGGAATAGTGATTTCATAATTATAAAGATATATGAATATTTGTAATAAGAGTAACTCCTAGATAATGTTCAATTGCTAGCACAACAGTAATGAATATAAATATTGGAAAATATAAAAAATACACTTTTTTATAATAAATATTATCACATATTAAAAAATTAATTTTTGATAAATAGAATGGTTAGCTTATTTGAGATTGTAAAAAGGACACTAGTTATTCGAGGTCATCTAAAGTTTCAAAATAACTAGCTTTAACTCCCTGTTGAAAGGTTGCTTAATGTTGTTAAAGCTGGTCCTTTTTAAATGTACAGCAAAATGAATATCTTGTTATTCATTATTCTGTTCATCCACCTTGTACATTATTTTAAAAATGCGCTTAATAAATCTCCCATTGTATCTTTCCATCATAATCTGTTGGTTTCTTGACAAAGTGGTGTCATTGAACTGACCTTTAAATTCCATAACTTGATGAAGCAGTGGTGTAGCTGGAGTAGTCAGAGAAAAGCCTGCAGTCACAGATAGCATAATAGTAGTAGTAACATGTGTATACCATATGGGTTTACCTATTATATATTGTAGAGTTAACAGTTTTTGAGGTTGGAATTCCTGAAGATATGCAGAGTTGTATGGCTGGTTTGATTCTTCATTTTGCCAACTGAGCTCTTAGAATTTTATCCTAGTTGTTGTCGTTTCATGCATTTCCTTTAGCTTCTCTGATCTTGTAATCCCTCTGTACTTCACTTATATTTTGTACTACATGTTTTACTTGGTTAATGTTCTCTTGTACACAGTAATAATGTCCCCACAGCTAAAAATTGTGTCTATTTGCATATCGTTGGTTAAACCTTGGATCTTATGATTTAGTCTGTATTTATTCCACATTTTAATGAATAAATTGCCTCATTCCTTCATCTTTGACACATTACTATCGAGTATGGTAACTGAGAATTCACAGTTAACTTTCTATTCTTCAACAAACAAAAATTTTAATTGGGAATTCTTTATTACACTTTAGATCAAAACTTTTGCACATTCAACATACCTCTGATGTATTACTTCATAAAACTGAAAGCTGTGACAAGTATGTATATCAAAGTAAAAGAGTGACAAGAAAAAAAAAAATCACCAATGTAGGTAAGGTAATGTGAGCAACAGATATTAACATCAACCTAATAAATATAGTGGCACTACCAGGTAAACCTTTAGCTAAGTTTTATTAATTTTCATCAGGTCATTGGACTCTTGGAAGGTCAGGTTTGGGATACTACAGCGTTTGGTATGCATACACACAGATATACAGTGAGTTGTCATAGTTTAAAACATGCAGACTATGTGAAGAACAGAGATGAAACTAGCCATAAGTTAATATTTCCATATGTCCAGCATTCTCTGCAAGTATCAGTGCAGTGCTCTTAGCATGTAATTGAAACATGCCACAAAATAATATCTCTACTTGTTTATTGTATTAGCTCAGTATTCCACATACAACAATTACAAAACAGGTGATGTTGGTTCCTCTAAACCTATTAACGGATAATTATGAAGCAAATTGCAATCAAAATAGCATGTACATGACATTTTACTATTTATGTTTTCAGCATTACCTATGATAAGCTTTTAATGATTTTTTCAACTACTTCTCAAGTAAATGATGTGTTTTGGCCATAATTTATGTTTATATTTTATATCACTAAAAGGATCTTGAATTGTACTTTGTAATAAATAGAAAACAAAAAGTCACTGCTAGAGAAGAAGTTTTTTCGTTGAAAGTACAATCTTCAGTAAATGTGTAAATATATATATATATATATATACACAAGTCTTTCTATGAATGTTTCATAAAAATGAGGTTATATTGTTGCCTATTTTCATTTTCTAAGGAAAGAAGTGAAATAAAGTGATTATCATACATTTTAGAAGAGCACTTTTTTATTCCAAGATCTACATGATATCTTTAATTCCAAAAAGGGAGCATAAACTGAAATATTCACATCTTACAGATACTATTCTTAAAACTCTAAATTATAAGTTCCAGTAAAATAATTCAGTTCAAAATTATATATTTAACTATTTCGTGTGCATTAACAATAAGCATGACAGAAAGTAGTAAAAATATTTTGAACTGGACCATTGTTGATTAATCAGTAAACTTCGTTAATGTTCTGAAATTGTATTAGATAATACTTTAATGCTTCTTAGGGCATTTTTGTAAAGTTTCTTGACTACATTTCAAATGTCTGAGAACTGTTTTGTTTTTTAATTTAGATGAAACATAAACAGAAGATAAAATTAATATAACACTAACCAGTCAAGTCACTTTATTTCAAGGAAAAATGTCTAAAACCTTTAGAACTATTTTAATAGTGTTTTCATCTGATAAATCTCAGGTCCCTTGGAAACAAGCTAACTGTAAGAATGATAAGCTATAAAAATCCAAGTGTGTGGTGATAAAACAATTTAACAGTTGCTTTTAAAACATTTCCAAATGTTTATTATACATATCCTCTACATTACAGGCAAATCTCCATTAAAAATGCTGTTTAAAGTATTAGTTTAGCCCAATAAATCATAGTCTTTGCTAATAATTAGCACTTTCTTATAATTTTAAGAAATATTTTTCAATTAACTTTAACACTTTTAACTTCAAATCTTTCAGAATTACTCAAGAAACAAGAAATAATCAAGCTACGCGTAATATAATCTGAACCCTAGGAAAACTGTAAAGCTAATATTAACATATCTGAATATTTACTGAACATTTACCACCCTAGACAACTTTCAAAATATACATTGTTAATATCAAGCAATCAGATAATGCACACTTTGAAAAAGAAGATCCAGAACATTCCATATCTCTACCCAAAGTAGATGTTTTGATAATTAACTTTCTATGTTTAAGTAAACAGGCTGGTACTAAATATTAATTATTTTCTTTACTTAGTCACACGACTGCGATAATTATTTTTCTAACCTTATCATCACAAAATAGTATTCCTCTATCAAATTAATTAACCTTTGCACTTAAAAAACATATAAAAGAAAAAAGCAACACAACTGTGTGACAGACAAAAATGTTGCTTCTTATTTCATTAACTCGTTAAATTTAATACACTTATCCACTTTATTGAAGAAACAAATACATGCATCAGTTTTTACCAGTAATTTCATTGTACAACCAGAAAATGACTATTTATGAATTCACGAATGAAGTTGCATACACATATGTATCTCTAAAACTATTTTTTATCAATTTTTTTAAATATAATTTTGAAAAACAGAGTTCAAGATAGTGAAAGAACTAAATATATTGTTTATTGAACTACCAACTTGCAAAAATAATGACATCTTGCAGTATCTTTTGTTCCACAGCCAAGTTTAATAATAAATAATCAACCAGACTGTGATGTACCAACAGTACTTAAAGATGTAGAACTTCTACATCATTATGTATATAAAAAAATAAATTTCCAGTTGGTCAGTAACAAAGACAAGTATTTTTGTAAACTGCCCAATTTTCAAAATAAAGCTAACGGTTATGACTATTATTAAAAATCTTACACAGTTATGTATGAGCACTGTTTATATTTAATACTTGAATCATCTTTCAATTGTGACATCATTATAAACTTCACAACTCAAGTGAGAGATTTTTTCAAGTCAACTATGATCTTCTCAGCTTTCTCTAGTGTTGTTTCCTCCTGTTAGAAGAAAAAAAAAGATCAACTTCTTGGTTTCAATATATATTTTGATTGTACACTTTTTACATTTTCTGAAACATTTAAAAAAATCTACTCAATATACTAGTATATGTTGACATTATTCAAAAATTACAAAATTCAAATAAATCTAACAAACTACAACTAATCTGACATCTAAAGATTAACTTTTTAAATCAAAAATCAACAATTTTTTCATTTGTATATATTCTAAAGTAACTACCATCAAAGCATAAAAAATGAAATACCACTCTCCTTTCTTTTTCTCTGTTCAATAATATCTATTACCATGATCTAAGTTAACATACGTTTTAGTCAGTTCTGATGTTTGTTTTAATTTGTTTTCTTATATATATCTTGTTTCAGTAATTCAGTTTTAGTTAGATCATCGTAAAGTGTATAACTATTGTCTATTAGATTTGCATTGCTCCAATCGAAGTACATTTTTAAAGATTTTATCATTAAATGGTTATACTCCAATTCAATTTTTAAATATATTGTTGTTGCTGCCATAAAAATATTTTAATCCTAGTTTCCCTTGTTCAATATTTCTTCCAGTTTATACTGTTACCTTAGCATGTATCATACTGTTTTTATTGGACTGTAATAATATACTATCTGAAAATACACAAGTTTCTCATAACTATTGTTCAATTTATTGAGAATAATCAATAAATTTCACTTTCAATTGAAAAATGTGTATGACAAAATTACAGAAGCTAAGTAAAACTAGTTTCACATATCTGCTTATATCAATTAAGGCACAGCTCAGCTGTAACAGATGTATCTAGATGCATGGTAGTTCTACATACAGGACTGAACTTTTGGACAAATTTACGGTATTTTCACAGGATTTCTAAATGCTAGAATGCCACTGTTCTTATGTTAATGAACAAATCTACATGCTCTTAAATCACCTTAAAAAAACAGCTTATCCGTTTCAAATTGAGAGAAACAGGTTGTCAAAAATTTTCTGTTTCCCTTGTTTAAGAAGAAAAAATGTATGGTACATAAAGAAGGAAAAGGATGAAAGAAAAATCCACTGGTGGAAATTAATTTCAACTAGGATATTTAAAACTACAGCTTATATTGATATTTTAATAAATATTTTGGGGATAATGTTAATGAATTATTCTCTATAGTCACCAGATTAAAGCTCATGACTTAAGAGCCTAGGGGCAGATTAAAATAGCACAGCAGTCTAAAACACTACACCTGTATTGATAGCTCAGAAAACAGGGGTTCAAATTTCACTTGAGGTGGTATCTTATTTTTAATTCATTTTAAAATAATCATCAAAACAGAAAAGTAACTATACCAAAAACAGACAAGTTAGAATAAATTGGTCAGCCAATAAAAATATGTTATCAAAAAATAAAATAAAAGCCAATTAAGTTATACATTAAAAAATGTGGAACTTGTTCCCCTTATATATATTGCAACTAGAATAGGAAACACCATGAATATATATGTTTCATTTTAGGTATCAGTGCAGAAAATTTAATTTCAGTATAATTCAGTATTCAATCTTACCTTGAAAAAACAGAAACGAATATAGTCTTCACCTAAATTCTTATGTTCATTACAGTAAAATGCACTAGGTGGTATACCTTGAAGTTTCTACGAAATAAAAATTACAAAACCTTTTTTATTAACTACTGTCAGATACTTATTTTAAATATTTATTTCGATCTTAAGCAAAAGATATACTTATCTACTGTATTGCTCTTAAAATACTGTCACAAAAAATTATTTTGTTGGGTTAATATTAAGCTTACCTAGAAATATTAGACATTGTGTAGTCTATTGCAATAACAAAAATTACCTCAAAACATTTTTTTTACCTTCATCTGGTGGATTATTATTTGTTAAATCATACAAAATAATAGTATTACATGTTACAGTGCAGTGCAGATTTATCTCACTACATCATCCTAATTTTAAGAATTAATGTCTTGCACAGTGAGAGCTGATGTATCTGTGATTCATTTAGTATGTTAATCCATCAGTTTGATTGTTATTGATTGATTAGTTAAGAAATTCTACAATTATTATATTTCATTATTTTTACCTGCCAATCACAATGTGATAACGTCATAAAAATTCAAATAATTCCAAACAAAAAACAACATTCAACTGACTTTGTATTTTAAGTTTTCCAAACATATATAAAAAAAGCAATATTTGCATTGTAAATATCTATAACAAAATTAATGGCAGAAATAAGTTACAAACTTTCAATATTTAATAACATGGTAGTATGAATTTTATTTCTAACACACAAACAGATAAAAAAACAAAAAACAGTTAAAATCAAATGTTCTCTTCCCCAGATTTGTGAAATAGCAAAAAATAAAACATTCAATACATTAATTCTACTGAATCTCTCAGCATTATAAGATGTTTTGTGAACTAAATCTAAATTATCCTAAAATATAAATACATCAGTAATTTACACAGCAATGTACGAACCTTATTTCTAGATAACCACTTCACAAATCGATAATCCTTTGTTCCTTGTTCTGAGTCAAGGTTTACTTTGGATCCTAGAAATGCAAGTTGAAAAAGATAATTATAAATTTATTTCTTGAAATTAAATTTTCTTTTTTAAGTACTTTTTTTTCTTCACATATATATATAATTACCATACAATAATAAACTAACTCATTTTTAGATAAATATAAATTAATCTTCTAAATGTTTGTTATATTGTTGTATGCTATACTTTTAATATCTTAATTTAGATTATTGTTTATCAGAAGGAGTTTGTTATGATGATGCAAGATCTATAAATTTCATAAAAGTTAAGGCCTCCATAGAATCTGGAAGCTTCCTGTATTACAAACTAAACTAGACTGTTTATAAATACCAGACTTTGTGAACGAATAAATCAGTTCATTGTCATTAATGATATACACAGTGAAAGCTGGTGTGTCTGTGATTCATTTAGTATGTTAATCCATCAGTTTGATTGTTATTGATTGATTAGTTAAGAAATTCTGCAAGTCAGGTGTACATTAGTTTTGAAGTTTTTGTTGAGATGTTGTTTGAGAAGTTGTGCCTAATAGTAAACACAGCCTGCAACAAATGTTATTGAACAAATAAATGAATTTGTTATCATTACATGGACTGAAACTGGCAAGAACAGAACACATTACAACACAATTTTCAGAAGTGGGATTATTTTAGTGAGAATAAAATAGAACATTGACAAAACTTCAAGCTAACAAAAACATAAGCCAGATTGAAAATTTGCTGGAACTGATTAACTACTGAAAAGAAGATCAAGAATAAGGAGACAGAAAATTCACAAAAGCACAAGGAGGAGACAGAAAATTAAAAAAACAAGAAGAAACTTACAGAAAAATAAATGAATATCAGAGTTAAGAGATGGGATATTAAGAGAGGAGATAAAAAGAAGGGTTCTAATATTCAAAGAAGAATCAAGAGAAAAATTAATCTGACAGACGACAAGATTGATAAAGCAATTTATAGATGCAAAATGAGATTACAACAACACGATTGACAAGGTACAAAAATGATACAATGATAAAATTGAAGAAGTACAAAAAAAACATCTATGAAGTACAGAAAAATCAATGACAGAATATAACATATTGAAAATGAATTAGTAAATGCAAACACCAAAGCAGCCACACCTCTTTTTGCATCCACCCAGGAATTCCAATTTAAAATATCATTTACTATAAAATATGGAATAGGAGAAACTATTTAGTCCACATCTGTTACCACTACTGGTGTACCCTGGACTGCTCTAGCTATGCCAATATCAAATCCAGTTCCATAAGTTATCTAGCCAGTTCAACAATACTGCCTAAACATTGCTTTATAAACCTTAAGACTTAATAAAAAAAAAGGTATTTTGCGTAAGAAAGCATTATAATTTTTACTGATATTCTGGCAAATTTCGTTATCATTCGCTTACTAATTTAAAAGTTATAGCATGAAAACTATAACAAACACAAAATAGACTGAACCCGTGCTGAAAGAGTTAAAGTCGCAGATAAACAACTAAAGGAACCATCAAAATTACAGGATCATTAGAGCAAATAGTACTGGACATAACCTCCCTTTGGCTATAGTCTATAAGAACAAAAAAGGAATAGTTAGACAATTAGTTACATAGTATGGAGAAAATAAACTGCAAGACATGTGTTTCAAGTTCAACTTGAAAGGACATATTGAAACCTGTAAGGGATAAAACTCCTCTCAATCGATGTTGGAAAGAGGGAACTGTTATAAGTGTGGAAAACATTGTCATTAGAACCGAGTCTGTGAGGAATCAATTGGTGTTAATATTAATACAAAGAGACAATATCATAAGGATGAGTCTTGACGCCCATCCATATCAAAAGAACAACAAGGTACAAGATTAACTGTTAATATTTTACTGCCACATGTTATTGAAGCAACAATTATAACTGGTTATTACAAAGGAGAAGATCTCTTCATTCCAAGAATTCCTTTGGTATCGAGTGATTACCCCTTTGAATTTAGAAGGCTCCAATTTCCAGTTATAAATTGTTTTGCTATGTCAATTAATAAGGCACAAGGTCAAAGTTTAAAGATTGCTGGATTGTTCCTAAAGAAGCCTTGCTTTTCACATGGTCAATTCTATGTACTATGTTCAAGAGTTGGATCTCATCAAAATCTGTTTATATTGTCAAAAGGTTAGTTAGATTAAACTTAAGCACAAAGCTACACAATTGGCTATCTGTGCTCTGCCCGCCTCGGGTACTGAAACCCAATTTCTAGCATTGTAAGTCCACAGACATATCACTGTGCCACTGGGGGGGCTGCCAGAAGAAGGAACAACAGCCAATGTGGTATATCAAGAAGCTTTAATTTAGATTTTATAATTTTTGTTTTAAAAATTAAAATTTCTTTGTGTCTTTAAATACCTATTTCAAGTACTTTCGACAACTGTGCAGCGAACTTTACATAACATATTTTTTATAAATTATTATTGCCGTAACATGCTTTAACATTAGGTGGGTTCTTATAATATTAATAAATTAATTTATTTCTTCAATAACATTTTCTACAGGCTACTTTCACTGGCAAACTTAGCTTCATAAACAACATTTATATAGAAACTGAAACTAACATATATTTATAAACTTGCAAAATTTCCTCACTAATCAATCAATAACAAGAACACTAACAAACTAACTTACTAATTGAATCAGACACACGAACTGTCACTGTAACTTATTAACTGACACTGAAGTGATTAATTCAGTCACTTTGTCTGATATTTATATACAACTAGCTGAATTACTTAGTAGTTTCCATAAAATGTAAAATCCCGAAAGTCTAATTTGTTAATGTACTAAGAATACCTTATTAAATACCTATTTCTGAAAAATCTGCAATCATAAAATAGCCTCCTTCTGGAACAGTAGGTGCCATTCCTACAGTGGTTAAAAATTTGGCCATGCGGTCTCGTTTAGGTTCTAATGTCTCTATAAGGTCTTGCCAATAGCTATCAGGAGTTCCCATACGTTCCATTTCAATTTCAAATCCAACTGCTACAGCCTCCTACAACAACATTTCCATACACATGTTAAAAGTAATTGAATTGTAAACAAATAGAAACCCTTTCCCCCGTTAACTAAAAATAAGACTTAAAATTTCTAAGAACCAAAGTAACACCTTTAGAACTAGAATTTTCTATATCTTAAATCCACTAATTTTGAAAGCTCAATACCTGTAACTAATATTTTAAATTTAAATTTCCTTAGTTACCAAACATAAATCCATACACCTGGTTGGAAAATATTCTAATATCTTGAAGACACGAATGACACTTTGTAATATCTATTAATACATTCTAAAATCAAACCACTTCCTTTCAATATATTTTACACTTGCTGTTAAACTCGTTCATATATGGTCATCAAGGTTTAAAAGCTGAACATCTGAGTGACATATTTTGACAAATAAAATTGACTTAACTGGTATTGAAGTTTTATCTTCACATAATGTTTAAAACAGTAATACTTAATTTAAAAACCTGATATTTTTGTGTATGAAAGCCTTCTAATGTTTACTAATAAAAGATTTGTGTACATTATCAAAAATTACAGTACCATTACTCACATGGATACTTTCTTGGTTACAAGCTGGGTGGATTCCACCAAGCCCGTATTCATAGGGTTAAGGAAAAAAAACAGGAAAATTTTCTTCGATTTGCTCATGAAATTTTCTTTTCTTTTCAGAATGTTGACTATCCTAATGTGCAAAGTAATTTTGATTTTAAGATTAAAAATACTTTTATCTGAAATTTGTGAAGTTTCATTTGCATGATCTCTATATCCTTCTAGATGATCATCTAATGATTTTTTGGATAAATCGTTATATTCAATGTGTTATTTTATCAATATTAACTCTATATGGTGTTGGTTGATTTGACCAACCACATAACCACCATAAAATTCAGAAAATAAATCTAAATTACCTTTTTTTTCTTCTAGAACAACTGCAAATTGTAACAGGAAACCACAAATGTTATTTTAAATAGCTTAAATCTCATAACAATACACATCTATTTATATTTATTAATTTTTGTTATATTTACCTTTGAACCATGTCTGACAAAAAATACCCTGACACAAGTTGAAAATTACATGGCGCACGTACAGCTCATGTTACCGCATCGAATAACATAACACACAAGCTGCTGGCGCGTATACCCCCACGAAGATTTTTATTATTTTTCTTTCAATATCTTACCTAATAAGTTTTTATTTTTTATTATCTTAGTTACTTTTATAATAATAAATAGTGAAAACAAATGAATGAAATTAAATATCAAACATTTTTATTTTCAGTAAAGTTTTTATATTTTATTGGTTATTTTCTTTACTGTAATATTATACTTAATTCTCCAGGTTGAAGTTAAGTAATCAAATTATAACAAAAATAAAGGTTACAAATGCAAAATAAAATGTATAGTACTATTAGTATTGATCACAAAATTTCAAAGTACTTATGGTCAGATTTTTCACTTCTCACATTTCCACTCTTATTTTCTCTAGTGATTTTATTGCTTGCAGATGGCTTAGAAACTAGAAGAAGCAAAATGAATAGCACTCTGTTCTTTTTAGTACAGACAGCAAAATTCCAAAGTAAATCTCGCAAGAGTTTCTTTCATTCTTTTTACACCTATTTCCTCTATTTATTTTACCATTAGCAGATGAAGTAGGAACCTGCCAAATATAAAGCAATGGACCATCATTCCTTTTTAGGTGTTACCATACTTTGACACCGCCAATATCAAATAAGCTCATGTGGCACAATTCCCAGAACTTTACTTGCTTTGAAAACACAGTGGGGTAGGATTTATCAACTTGTTGATGGTATAATGGTTACAACAACAATTGTCTAAAGTATTATAAATGTTTATGTTATGACTTTGTAAAAAGTCCGGGCCGATCCAATAAGTGGAAGCATCCTATAGAAACTATTCAAATCGTGGCTCCGAAAAAACACTGGGATAGAATATGCCAAGTTCTTTACAGTACAGTGGTTGCAAGAAGAATTGTCTATACTTTATAAAAGTGAGAGAAAATATTTATGATATAAAGTTTGTACAAAGTTTGATCCGATCCAATAAACTTGGGTGGTTTGGATTTAATGGTAATATAGGTGTGAAAGTGCTTATGAACATCCTGTTTCCTATTTTACCATACTTACACAGTAACCAATAAATGCACAGTTTACAATATTTTGTAAGGTACAATGAGGTTCAAATTTAAGTTATTTTTCTTCAAACACGGAACAGTAAATAAAAATATTCGGAAAACAATGATCTCCACTACTTACAATGTTTTAAAGTTCATTTTTGAACTCATGAGTCATACTTGCTAACCCTCGTCATAAGCCTTGTCCAAATTCATGTGTAAATGTAGAAAAAAATAATTTTTGTAGACTTTATATATGCATTTTTGAATAGCCAAAAATTTATAAATGACTATACTGATACCACAAAAATCTATTGTAATTTACCAGGCTTCCTAACTATGCTGTATTTGGGTCTAAAAAATATAATTTCTGTTCAGAAAATAGCATTGATCATAAAACTTCAAACTCTCCAACAATATAAGAGCTTTTGATTGGTTATAAACTTATAGATTTAAAAAGCAGACAATATAAATCTTCTCAAATGATATGGTGGATTCTATAAATATTATATCTCAGCAAATAGAAAAGTTAGGAGATTCTTATTTTAATTCTAGTTTGCCAATATTGGAAATTTGAGTTTATAATTCATTTGAAATTATAAACGTTGTATTGCGGGCATCATAAGATGTAATCTGACCAAATCCAATTTAGCTTCTTTTTTTTATGATATTTACTTTCAAATTAAAAAATTAACTAATGTATAATACTAAAATTTGAATTAAAATCTACAATTTGATACCAAGTTTATTGACATACATTCATAAAATAGTAGTTCTACAAACGTGATGACATGACCTCTAACCCCTAGCTACCCCTAACATGCAAAAAATCAAAGTCTTATGAAAATTCACATTATCTAAAAAAAACGTTTATTACTTGAATAATGGCATGGTTATCTTACCTGGATTGGAGTGGCACAAGTATAAACACAGTTCTGGTGAAGTAACTGTGCAGGTCGTGTTAGCTCATGGGGCCCATACAGCCAGCCTAACTGTGTGAAAAAAATAATGATTTTATGTATTAAATCACCAGCTTTCAAGATTATATGCAAAGTTCATAAATAGTAACCAGATTCATCCTTTTTTGCTTTGTGAAATGTTCCAAAATTTTGTTGTAAGTCTCTGTTTAGAAAAAAAAAAAACAACACTAAAAATACCTTTCATTTTAGAATTTAAAGTCTTTATTGTTGATAAGAAAGTTCCATTTGTAAATCAATTCTTTCTTCAACCAATAAACTTACCTGATGTCTTAACAAAGAAGAAAAACTTCTATAACTTTCAAATATATAATTTAACATGAACATATTTTCAGGAATGAAAAGAACGTTTAAAAAAACAATAACAAATTCTCAAGTGTTGGTTTGTTCTTAAACTACTAAACTTCCCATAAGATTCCTTTGTTTATTTTTTATAAGAGCTACATCTGATCATCTTCCCACAAAACCATAAATTAATTACTGCTCATAACATTTTATTTATATCATATTGATGTAAATAGTTTGGATTTTGCTCTATTCAATGTTCGAAGCTATTTTCAAACATATGCTTCAGTTAGTGATTGTTCAACAACATGCTTCAACATCATAAATGGTAAGAGCTGAACTGAAATTGCATTATTTTCTTAGAGATCATGTACCACACCGTTTAAATCTTGTGTTCCTTACTTACCAGGTAATATCAGATTCACCCAAAGCAACTGACCATTCTCATTCAAACATAAGAGAGATTGTGAGCTTGAGATATAACCTGACCTACTATTGGAGGATATTGCTGTCCAGATTCTTGCACAGTGTGCAGCATTACAGCCATATCATCCATTCACAGAACAGGCATAACCTCTAGAGAATGACAAAAGAACAAAGGCATCTAGAACTAAATTAACTTAATGTCTTTCTTCACTAAGAAGCATGAGAAAACTGTACAGTTTGTCTTTGAATTTTGCGCAAAGCTACACGAAGGCTATCTACGCTAGCCATCCCTAATTTAGCAGTGTAAGACTAGAGGGAAGGCTAGTCATCACCACCCACCACCAACTCTTGGGCTACTCTTTTACCAACGAATAGTGGGATTGTTGACCGTCACATTATAATACCTCCACGGCTGAAAGGGCGAGCATGTTTGGTGTGAGGGGGATTCAAACCTGCTACCCTCAGATTGCGAGTCGAGTGCCGTAACCACCTGGCCATGCCGGGCAAAACTGTACATACCAGAATAACTAATTAAAATATGTTTGTTCTTAAGAACAAGCCTACACAATGTTTTCTGCCCACCAAGTGTATCAACATCCAGTTTTTAGTGTTAAAAGCCCACTGAGCTACCGGTGAGAAACTAGTTTAAAAAAAAATTATATACTAACATAATGTAAAAAAATGAATGGTATATTTATATTGTAACACAGCCCTTAGCTTTTCAAATAATATCTAAGGGTTTTTAAAGTAATGGTTAAGATGTACTATAGTGCTGTCTTTAATTCTATATAAAATGAGGCTTTATTTCATTATTAAACATTTTCCATAAATAAAACCAACAAGAATAACTAAATCAAAACTTTATAAAACCTTTCTAATATAATCTTATTAGCAATAATAATCTGCTTCACCATTTTATTGTTGCTGATTAATAAGTTGTTGTATGCAAATAAAGAACATTTCTAAAACGTGATAACGCATCTCATTTGTTATATACTGAGTATGTATTACACGTTACTTAACATATACATTTTCTTTCAATCATCTTTGAATTTTATAATGTTAGTACGTGTAATTGTTCCCGATCTGCAAGTTAAAATTTTATACAAATGTTCAATAAGCATATATAAGCTTGAGCAATAATATTTCATTCTACTGACAATTCATAAACATTTGTATCATTTATATCTTACTGTCCATCTGATTAGGACTTGTGGTTAAAAAAAAATGAAATAGTATCAACTAGTGTCCATAAAAACAATATTTACATATAATAATACAGTATAAATCCAAATAGCTCTACTAGTTATTTCAAATTATATATATTTTTAAAAAGAAAGAACATTATGTATTTCAATTGTAAAATATAAAAGAAATAATTCACTAGCTCACAGTGATTATTTAACAACTATAAAATATAAAATCAAAAGAAGCAGATATGCAGTACGTTCTTTTTGTACATTTGAAAAACAGATGTGATAATAGAAAATTTTACTATATTTTTTATACACTGGAATATTGTTATTGCTCAAATTTAAAGTTCAGTGTTAGAATTGCAGCATGGGCAAGGAAGGCTATAAACAGATCAAAAGTGACAAAGATAACAGATAAAGTAAGTTAAAGAAGCTCTGAAAATTTTACCTTCCATCCTGTAACACTGAATGTTTTCCCAGCACTTCCAACAGTTATTGTTCGTTCCCACATTCCTGGGAGGGTGGCTGAGCAAAGTTAAGAAGATATTTTTTTTTACATGCAAGTGAGAGAAATATTCATTTAATAAAAGTACAGAGTAAAAAAAATAAAACGTTTTCTTCACTACATCAAATTAAAAAGTTTTGGTTTTTGACTTGTGCTACAAGTAACTAATTTAAATTTCATAGGTCAGTAGTAAATTTCTACCTTAGAAATTTTTCACTGTATAACATCACATATTCTAATTTGATTTTTAGTTCTCATGCTAATTAGCTATTTTTTTCTTTAAATATGTTATAGAAAATACACTGGAATGAAAATATACACAATGACTGTCCACTTTATAAGAACTACCTCAAATATGTTTATAACACTATTAATATATGCAAAATAAACAGATCATGTAATAAGGCATTTTCTACCTTCTAAATTATTTTAATAAAGATATTTTAAACATTTTGAGTCTATGCAGTTTTCAAATAAACACATGGCCCAGAAAACCATTAAGTTGATTTTGTTCTAAGTGCCTTTGTTCCTTTGTTGTTCTTCAGTGATAATATCTGCTCCACCTTCAGGAGATATTGTTGTAGTACTGTACGTGTGTTGTGCAAGAAGATCAATGACAACAGTGTATATTGATGGTCAAGCAGAGGACAGTTAGATGTTAAGGTCTCACTTGTGTTGAATGATAATGGCCAGTTGCATAGGTAGTGTTAGGCATTATAAGTAAATCCAGTATTTCCCATTAAGTAAGAAAAGTTTGATTTAGACATTAATACACAGACTCTCAAGTGAGTCAGGTGATGGGAAGACATCTTGAGGGAAGGAAATCTACTGATCAATTCTGAAGTCCAGTAGCAGGCAACCATCCAGTAGTCATAAAACAAGTACACACATTATGTTTGTCCACTGAATTAAATAAAGACTGCTTTCCTTTTGTACAACAAATCATGTTCAGTCTGCTTTTTATTTTACTTAGTTAAATTCAGACTTATTTTATAATTTATCTGGCAAATCATCCCATTCTAAAGCATACCTAGCCAACACTCTTTAAGGAAATCAGTTAACTTGAGAAAACCAAAATGTAATCATAATGATCAGTCAAGCAAAACAAATGGTATCAATAAGGAATTTTCTGACTTTCTAAGAAGCCTGATGGTAGGTGGCCACTAAGTATTTTTATATATCAGACTTTTCGGCTACTTATTTAGAGACATCTGTTATCAGAGTTTATCAGCAGCAGCAACTAAAAAGAATATACATCTGCAATTAGGGGAAAACTTTGGTCACCAATGGGTAGTGAAAGGATGAGGATATATAACATTTAGACAGGCTTGAAAAGAGCAACCACATTTTTACTGTCTAACATTCCTTGAACAATAACATGACAGACATTGCAAAAAAAGTAATATGGCACCACCCAATAACCACTTGCTTCAAACACAAACATGAATATATTTAAAGCTTCAGTAGTGACTAAACAGCAAACAGAGGTAAAATGAGTGTCTGAAAGCAAGATATGTACTCTGATAAGTCACATTTTTCATTCTCTCCTGTAGTATTGACTGTAGAGTAAAATATGATGAAAACCAAATGCAGTACTATGTCCTATTTGTATTGTTCTGACAGAAGTGATATATATAATTATGTGGTTTAGGTTCTTTGATTCCTATAGAAAGGCTAATAATAATCTGAGTACGTATGAATGTGCTGATTATCATGTCCACCTCAAAATGTTCCT